CGGGAAGCGCGGCCTCGGCGCCAGTGTGGCCGCTGCGGAGGGCCGCTGCCGGGCGGGGCGCACTTCTTGCTGGGCGCCCTGGTTCTTCCCGTCGTGCCGAGTGGCTTATAAAAATGCGTCACGGCACGGTGCGGCTCCGCCGGGGGCGCCGCCCCGACCCGAGTTTTTAAGGTTCCCCCAGCTCGTTGCCCCAACCCAGCTCCTCGTGTAGGTGAAATAAATGCGGAAGAGGGAGGGTTGTCCTCCGAGCATGGCTGAGCTGTGTTTGCACAGGCGATTTTATTTGTCAATAGCTTCATCCACTTTTTTGCTAGTGCAAACATCATAATAAAAACGTGGAATACGTAGGTTGGTAAAATCCATGTGTAATCCATTTAAGGAAGTGTTTGAATTCTGGAGGTTAAAGCTGCCCTACTGGTTAAATGATAAGCTAGCTGTGACTGTAATTAGAGCTAAGGCAAATATTAAAACAGCATGTATTAACATCATTTTTTAACCACTTTTTAAATATTTTTGTTTTCTAGTGAAAAGATCAAGAGGCGACAGTCAAGATCACACGGGGAAAGAGCACAGAAACGCAGTTTTGCAAAAAGTCTGTGATAACTGATCAAGAAACAATTGCATCACTTGCCTTCTGTTAGTCTTTTGCAATAAAACTGCTTTGTAGTGCGTGCCATCTTCTGTTAAATCCACACGAACAGACAACGGTAAGTTAAAGTATTACACAGCTGTGAATTCAAAAATTAGTATTTCAGTGTTTAGAACATAGAGACGTCCATGGTTCCTTTTAATAAATTGCTTGAATTAGAGGAACATCATTATGTGGATATTTTTATTAATAATGACCTTCTTTAACAGAAAGAAATTGCTGCTGATAACTCCTTATAATGAGCCCAGTTAGATTCAGTAAGAGGGCATATGCTAACCTTGCTGGTATATGTCAGTATTTATGGGCTTGTTTGTACTTGACTATTTTCATGGCTTCAGGATGGGTGTGGGGATGAAGTGCATAGTTAGCCCAAATAATACCATGCTTGGATGCTCTAATTATGGTATACGGCTATCCTATGTCAGGTTAGCCTAATCCATGAAGTAGTGCTCTGAACTTTTGCCCTGTGTGGGCAAGCCTTTAAGGCATTACAAACGTTTTGTATTTATTGTATGATGTGAATGTGGATTTGACCAGCCAGTGCGTAAAACATTACGAAACTTCTTGCATGGAAATGGGAATTAAAACTTCAGCAATCAATTATCTGCATAGAAGGAACAACTCTGGATGTAAAAAGAAAAATTAGCAGTGGTGAATGAACAGCTCTGTGTGAAAGTAGATCCAAAATATTTTGCAAATGAACTTGGTTTCTGCACTGACTTACATTGGTTGGATGACTAGGGGAAAAAAGCTTAAAGAAAGGGTATCAGAATTAACAAAGAGGTACATTACTTTTCAGAAAAATGTATCCACTGGTTTAGTGATAGCAGTAAAATGCCATTTGTTGTTGCTGACTCACTGGTAGCGAGTGACATTCATATATGGAAGAGACAAAAGAGAGAAGACATACCTAAGAAAAGGTGTGGAGAAAGATAAGATTTACCTGTACCGTGCTGCTCTCCTTTTATTTTTCTTGTTCTTTAGCACATAGGAAGTACCACTGCTTGTTTTCAGCTGTATGGTTTGTGGTACAAGTAAATCAACTTATAATTTGGCTAAAAGGGGAAAAAAAGAGGGGTTGTGCAAACATTGAAGCCTCTGTCTTTGCCTTGTTTTTAACTATTTTAGAACATGGATATTCTGAATTACTATGTTATTATATGTAGGTATTTAAAATATAAGGGTAAGGTATAGGTGACTTAAAAGCTCTCTAATTCTCTAGTGCTTTGGACAGTGGGAAAACTTTGTGGACTACTACAATTTAAGAAAGTGAAGATGATTTCGAATCATAGTCTCACTGGCCATATATCTTTATCTCCACTGCTTTAGCAGTGACAAGTCAGAGCTTAAATTTCTAAGTTCTGAATTGGTAACATTAAAAATGTAAGGCAGGGTGAACATCTTTGAAAGTAATTAATCTCAAGGTTAAGATTCTTGTTCTTCCTGCACATCTTTTCCAGCTGAAGGAGTGCAATAAACTGAACCTGTACAGCTGTATTTGTCGAGAAAGGCTGAAGACAGTTTGAGCCATGGCAAGCCAGGTAAGATCATTTGGTCAGAAATTCAGGCTTGCAGTGCCTAAATGGATTCCAGAACCATACTCAGAATTCCTAGTAAATGTAAAGCTGAAATAGCTAGCTTGGTCTGAGTTGGGTGTTCTTTTAGTCCTACGATTTCTTCTGGTAATTGGTGGCTGTCCTCTGGACACTTAATCATATCAACTGAAGCAGGTTGGGGACATAACATTAAGTTTTGCAGTTTGGATTATTTGAGCATGAGTTCTTCTGAAGGACCTTGCACACAACATTCTCTATATAAGATATGTGTAGAGGTGTTGTAGAGGAAGAACATTAAAGCCTGCGTAAGTAAAAAAAAAAATGCTGCGAAACACCATTCTTAGTTTTGGAAATCCTTGTTCTTCAGAATCTTAAGCGAGGGAGGCAACCTGTGTTAACATGGCTGTTGTTTCCCTCCTCTTTTGTGTAGTTGCCCCACTTACTTCTTAAACTGTGGTTTTTGGGGTTTTGGCTTTTTCTTTTTTTTTTTTTCCCAAGAGGCAATTTTTATGCCTCTTTCTTCCTGGCCTTGCGTCTGGGTTTGAGTTTTCCATCAGCCAAGCTAGTGCCTGTTCCTGGTCTGCTTTCTCCTTACATTCCATTAATCGGCCTCCTGTCGTGGTTCCTGGCCTGGGAGAGACTCACAGCTGGGTAGTGAGGAGAGGCGTCTCACCGAAGAAGAATTCCTTGGTGAAGGGAGATAGGGACAGCTGAGGTCCCTTCTAGGCAAGAGTGATGATTTCCCTGCCTCTTCATCACTCAGACTGTTCTATTGCAGGGTTTTTTTGAGTCCTGGAGCTCAAGTGGAACACAGTCCAGTCCTGAAGCTAATTAACATTTAGGATTGGCCAACATCAAAGGGCTATCTGCTTTTTCCCTAATTCCAAGAGGAAGCTGTCAATCCTTTAGCCAGCTTGACAAGTCAGGGGAATATGGCTGTTCATACAATCCTTTGGCTCTGTTATTTTTGCCAGGCGTTTTCCCCAGAGGCTGCTTTCCCTCATGGGAGGCGGAGGGAGAAATGGGACCCCAGGCTTCTTTCAAGGGCAAGGTGAATATGGGGAAATCACCTGTGGTGATGGGGAGTGGGAGGGAGGAATGTAAATGAGGCTAAATACTATAAAGGTGATTTTTTTCTCCCAACAGGACTTAATGGCGAAAAAAAGAGAATGTCTCCAGGCCTACAGCTGGTGGAGAACACCACAGAAGAAACGGAAGAAAAAGAACAAAATAAAACCAGGAAGAATAGAGTTTGTCCCTAGTAGTACTTCAGGGACAAGGTAAAGACCTTTTGAAATGAGAAGCTCTGATCCCTTGTCTGTTTAAATTGATAAGTGATGGCATTCACTAGTCACTATTTTTTAAAATCCTGAAATGGCACATCTGGTGCATATGCACTAAGTATTGCTTATGGAACTATATTGCCAATAGAATAATGAAGTTTGTAGTTCATCTCATAATCTCTGAGAAGTGGTGGCAAAATAGTCATTGCTTGCTTGAATGTAACTGTAACTTGAGTAAATAGTTTTTCTTGGTATTTTTGTGCCTCCTTTCCCCTTCCTCACCTCAGACAGTAAATACTTATTTTTAAAACCAACTTCTAAAGGTTTCTTATAAAATGGGTCTTTATTGAAATGCTCTTTTTTTGCAAAAGCAGTAGAATCGACCCAGAGAAATTGAGAACTTTCTACTGGAGCGATGGCATTGCAGTTCTGTACATTAGTCAGCAGGGTTTTGCAGTTAATACTATGCTCAGATTTTTTCTCCTTATTTGGCTAGTGATAACTACCTGCTTATATGTTAGGTACTGTGATACTGCAATCAGCTACCTTAGTCTCAAATTTGACAATTGCTCTCTTTTACCCTTTTAAAGACCAGATTATTCAATATTTGTTGGGGAGCTTACTCCAGAAGTGGATGATTTCCAGCTCTATGACTATTTCCTAAAGAGGTACCCCTCATGTATTGACTGCAAAATAGCAACAGACCTGCTGGGATATTCCAGGTAATGCCTGTGAAAACTTGTAATGCTGTCAGTATGTTTGCTGTATAAGAACTTGTGTCAGAACTGTGTGTGCATTTTCTTCAGAGGCAGGAAGAGAGATTAGTCTCTAGCATTACTTTTTTTAAACAGCATAGATCCTTGGGTTTCTAAAACTTTCTGGCTGGTTTAAGCAGTTAATGTGATAAGCTTCAATTTAGCCATGTGCATATCTGCATGAAAGAAATTAGGTGGTGGGAGAAGGGAGAGCTGTGTGCTGAAATACATGCTGCTGTGCTTACATACAGCAGCGTGTCCACTTAGTCATCTGCAGTGTGGAAGACAAAATTATTCCTTTCTTACATATGGGAGAAAGCGTAAGGGAGGGTTTGGGAGACTTGAACCTATTAATACTAGTAAATAAAGCCTAGCAGAAGTTACATTGGCCAGGCAGTGAGTCAAGCAGGGATGAGTGAGTTTGCTGTTCAGACAGTGTGCTGGCTGTAGTAGACTAATTCAAGAAACTTGAGGAAGCAAATACAAAAAGGATATTAGTGCTGTGCAGTGGTAGGAGTGGGTTAATACTAACTGATAAATTAACTGCTGTAAATGCAGAAATATAGGCTCTGATTACTTATAGCAATTAAAATGTATTGTTTCTCTGGCTCTCAGCAAGTTGCATCTTAATGCTATCAAATGAGTTTTTTGCTTCTGGCCCAAGTTTTTAATTTGATGAAAGCATCTTCTGTGCATGTGCACATGCCAGAGAGGTTGCTTAGGTAATAGAAGCTATAGTAGCTACTATCTTCTGTTTTTGTAGGAGACAGAAATTGAATTCATTAGCTTTATAACTGTTATGCATACTAGAATTTGTTTTCTCCCTTTTGAAAATTGTAGAGGGTATGCCTTTGTCAGATTTGGTGAGCAAGGTGATCAGATGAGGGCACTGCAAGACTGCCAGAATGCACCAGGTCTGGGGGGAAAACGAATCCGGCTGAGCATAGGAATTTCTAAAAGGTAACAAATGAGTTGTGCATTAATAACAGTAATTCTAAATAATCAGATTCTTGTAGCTCTGCTTTTGTAAAGTATGTGGCCCTTGCTATAATGGCTGTACACATGATGCAGTCTACAAAACTAAAAATACAGAAGCATTATTTTTGACTCTTGGATTTATCAAACTTTCAGGATTGCTGGGCAAATCCAACTTGTAAGTCTAGCCAGACTGTGTAATTTGGGCTTAGCTGTTGTTGTAACGAGCCTTAATTCCTATAGTAGCAAAGCTGAATGCATTCATAAATATTTTCCAGGTTTGGGCCTGAAGAAGGTAGAAGGGACAACCACTGGTTTTGTATGCTAGGGAGCTTTTCTTTTAGAACTTTCCCTCTATTTTAGACAAGGTAGCATGTTGCTGGTTTTACAAAAGGCTGGCAGAGGAAGGAACTCTTATGTGGAAAAATACAGAATATGCAGGGGGAGGGGGGGAAGCCAAAGGAGGTGTTACTGGAGCAGTTTTAGAATACTATTCTTTGCTTTTCAAGAGATTAAAGCAGCAGGGAACTTAGAAGTTGATTGGTTTTGAGAGGGGTTTTTTACTCTGCCAGCTCAGTTCTCTTATCAGTTACTTAAGACAATACTAGTCTCTGAACAGGTAGAGAATTGATACCAAATTTGATAAACTTTGATCCAGGATACAGACAAAAATAAATTTTATATAAAAACAATTACAGTCTAGTCATGAGGTTAGCTTGTGCATTCTGTTAAATAGTAAAAATAACAGCTTTTGTTTCTCTTCACCCTGAATAATTTTGCAAATGTTGCCTCTTTGCTTTAGAATGGAAATGCTCTTGCCCGAGAGAGCACTGTCCAGAATTGTTCTAAATTACTTGAAAACAAGAAGAGATAAAAGAAACAGGTTTCTTCTCTTCTGCTATCCAGAAGAATGTCAGCAGTGTTTTCGTATTTTTCCTTCCTACAGAGATTTATGTAGGAGAGAAGTTGGAAGCAGGTGGCCTTGAGACACAAGTAATTTGTATACCTCAGTAGGAAGACAATAGAATACCTATTTATTAGGATGTATGTGTAGCTTTACAGTAATGAAACAAATTAGGTATTAAAATACACATCACTAGATCTGTTTCTGAATAGCTGAGTACAGTGCTCTCCTGGCATTACAATATCCAGCCATCAGACTAGTTTGTCACTAAATTACTTATATTGGAATCAGTATTTCTGAGTTCCTTCAGTCTGTAATCTACACAAAAATCCTGGATCTGACTTCTCTGTAGTGAAGCAGAGATGCAGAGAAATAAGACTCTGCAAACACAGGGGGTCTGCCTGTACCTAATCAGTGAAGAAATGTCTAAGCATAGAGGATTTTTTTGAATGTGCAGCTGGATTATCTGAATGTGTTTCATGTAGTGTGTCTCTGTTTTAGTACAGGCAACACTTGTGCATTGAGTCTTGTAATTAGTGTGAAGTTCCATGAGAAAAATCTACTCAGGAGAGGGAAGGTAGTGAAAACTAGTCAGCTGGCCCTTTGGTCTTAAGAACCAATGAGTTCTGTCATTTTCCTACTGATTTAGCTTCATGCTGGATAATGGGCAGTGCTGACTTCACCTGACAGCTATACTTAACTGTTGAATGCTTGCAGGTGGAGGTAGATACGGCAAACTAGCAGGCAGTGTCAGATGCTCATCTAAAACAGGTGATCTGACTTCACCTGCTTGTTTCTGGAAATAAGATTTAGTATTAACCAGACAAGAGGTAGAAGAGCTAGTTAAGACTGAATGCATCTTAAAAGCAGCTGTGCTTGATAAATGTCTCTGGTCTTAATAAATTAGTTTTTAGCAGAGCACAAAGATTTATCAGCAGCTTGCCTATACAGAAACTAAAAGTACTCAACATTAATATTGATGTGTCATGGCTTGAGTTAATCCATGAAAATAATTGCTTTTGGTATTGGCAAAGGTGAGAGCACTTGCTTCTGTATAAACACAATATCTTGTTCTGTTACTTACACTGTTGCTTAGGCAACTATTCAGAAAAGCTTCCTTTCAAACTTTGAAATGCATAAGCTGGCAAATTGTTTAACTTAAGAACTGGCTTTACAGTTTATTGTTCTCAAACTCTGACTGCATATAACTTCTCATGTTTCAGACTGAAAGCAGAATTCCAGCGGTACCAGTCGTACAACTATAATGATTATTACCAAGATTATCAGAACTACTACTCACAGTGGGGTTATGATCCTTATGCTGAATACAACTACAGCTCCTATACTCCCTATGATAGCATGCAAGCTGTTGGAGACTGCTCTTTAGGAGATGCTGTTATGACTCCAGCTGTTTTTGAGGTAAAGATACTACACACTTGCTTTAAAGAAAAAAATTCACAAATACTAAGATGTAAGAATTTGTAAGTCTGAGCAAAAAATCTTTAAGACTGAAATCATGCTTTCTGCTTAGTGTAGAGGTTAGAATAGCAGGCTTTGTTCAGAGGTATCTTTAAGTGCTTAAGTAATGCATCTTTAGAGTTAGAGATTCATCCACCATTATTTGTTTGTGTATGCCAAATAACAATTCTGACAGCGTGATCACGTAGGCTGCTTCTGTTCCTGTTTTTCTGATGTACTTAAAGCAAATTAAAGGATCAATGTAAGATGGTCTTGTCTTAGGTCAGCCAATTTATCAATTACAGTTTCCAGAAGTCTCTTCCAACCTGAACTTTACTATGTTTTTCTTTAAAAAAAAAACAAAAACAAAAACAAAATGATCCCAACAAACCCAGACAGCAAAACAAAAAACCAAAACCAACCAACAAAAACCCTTCCCAGCAAACACAAAAAAACCCTGTCTATTCTTGTAGCTGTGAGAAGGTTTGGGAGTACAAAATCATTTTGGATTTGTGATGTTTTCTGAAATGGATTATGATTAAACTCAGGAGTTTTTTCTTCTTTTCCTTTTTTTAGGAAACTTCAGCTATGACTGAAATCAATGATGATCTAATAACTGAAGGTAATAATGATTTTATCACTGCAACTTGAATTAGCCATACTTGTGCCGTTTAAAAATACAAGCCAATGACTATTGGATGAAGAATGTCTTGAAAAGTCAGCTGATGTAGTGGGGTCCTCTATGAGTTATAGCTGAGATGAGGTAGGATTGCAATGCTGGTAGTATACACCATGTCAAGCAGAATGGGACATTGTTGACAACATGTCACAGTAGGTTTCTTGTAACTTTGCCTTCATTCTCCTTCCAAAATGGTCTAATACGGAATTTGTCATATCTCTGTATTGATTCTGCAAAGCATAACCTATGTTAAACTTACTAGTAGGCAAAAGCTTTGTTTTCTAAACCCTGAGGTGAAAGCTTATGTTGCAGGTCATAAAAGGAGGCTTCAGCTTGCACTTGAAGATTTGGTACAAAACTTAATTGTTTGGCCTGGAAGGCTTGCAGATAGTTCCTCACATAGAAACATCTTGTGTTAGTGTACAGAAAATTTATCATGCATAATGTATATTGTAGTAGAAATGAGTTTTGGGAGAGTTTCATGGTTAATTATCTGTAAATCCACTCTTTATCTTGAAATAGAAATAGAGTCCTAGTATTCTAATACACAAACTCTGAAAGAAGTTGACCTGCTAGGTTTGTTAAAAAATTCTAGGTGAATAAACATCTTGTTAAATTTAATATTATTAAATTACTAACTTTAGCTAAAACACGTTTTATTAAGCATTTGTGCAACCTGCTCTAGGTGAACCTGCTTTAGCAGGGAGGTTGGACTAGATGATCTCCAGAGGTCCCATCCTTCCAACCCCTACCATTCTGTGATTGTTTAGTGTGCATGCCTCCCAAGATCTGACACTTGTACTTACCAGGCTTTTATTTTCAGATCCACAGCTTTACTTGGATGTTGATGAAATGAACAGACAATTTATGGAGACAAGTGAAGAACTCTATGATTCCCTCATGAATTGTCACTGGCAACCTCTGGATACGGTCACTTCTGACATCCCCCCTGCTATTTAAGTGTCTTATATAGCATGACCGTTATGACCAAGGTGCTAAAATTACATTTCTTCTACATTACTCTAGATCATAAGTTTTAAAGCACAATGATAGGTTGGGTTTTTTGCTATGCTTTTGACAGTTTCTGTAATCTTTTTTTTTGTTCATCACCCTACTCTTGGAGCATCTTGAAATCATGTAAATATTCTAGAAATGTAAAGAGTTCAATGGGGTCTAAAGATAGACTTGCCTGTGTAAATAAAATTTTTGTTTCTGCAAACCCGCCAGCAAGGGATTTTACTTACATGTGTGAAGCACATTCTCTTCTGGCTTGTGGAATTTAGCTGGAGGCAGTAGGAGTATTTCACCTGTCTTTGGTATGGGCATCAGCAAAAACTTGCAAAATTAGCTCTCATGTATTTCCAAGTTACCTAGGCAATCTTAGAAGCTCTTAACATGCTTGCTTAAATTATATGTGTATTTGGGAGCCACTCCCAGGGTTTGCTGTGGGAACACATGGGTCCACTCTCTTCTGCGATCTGCTGGTGCTAACTGTAGTACTATTCATCTGCTAGGTCAGTTAGAATTGCTTTATCAATACAGTATTTTAAACACACAAGAAGGGCAAACTTTCAGCTGCAATAGCTGCAAACATTGCAAAGACTAAGGATGATTCTTACTAAGGATGATTCCTACTGACAGCTTTATTCCTGCCCTTCTTCTTAGCCTTCTCAAATGACACCTTACAGCAAAGAAACTGGTGTAACAATACATGTTCTTAAACCTAAAAATCCTTGGAGAATATAACTTTCTGGTTTAAAGAAGGAAAAATAACCCATTGGGAACAAAAACCTATCCTACTAACAACTTCAGCTAAGTTGCACCCTATCCTAAACATCTGTAATTTGTTCAGTCTTCATGTTTAGGAGTTTCGTAGTGATGAGGTTATAAAATTTTAGTAGGATGACAGTTTTCAGTGTTCAAGTCAAAGGAGATAGGGGAGATAGCAATGAGGAAAGTTGCTTTCAGCTAGCAACTTCTGAGTGGCATTCTCTAATCTGTTCTCATCTTGGAGGGTATAAAGTATTCCCAGTCATAGGGACTACTTAAGCCTGTGTGTATGCAAAAGTATTTACTAATTAACGTATATAATGATAAAATAAGTTAGGCTGGAAACAGAAGAATACTCTTTCAAGAAAAAAGGTAGCAGAAATTACCATAGCTGATAGCTGTAGAAGCCACTAAAGCTAGTCAAGATGCTTTGGTACTGCCATGTATGTTTTTGGGACAATCTAAACCATAATTGCTGTGATGGCAGATAGGAATAAAGTTCTCTGGCTTTTTTTATGGCTTAATGTAATTAAAGTGATGGTCATAACCTATATGCTGTTCTTTAAATTTAAAACAAATACTGTATTGCGGAGTGATGACTTGGGGCTGGCAGGTCATTTCTAGCTGCTGACCAGAATATCCTGCCTTTCACATTTTAATTTCAGCTAGGGATATTTTCAAAGTCCTGCCCATGAAATGCAGATGCTTTAAAACAGAAGAGACTTTTGGAGTACTGTAGGAAGTTCATTCTTCCTGGATTTTGTGCAAATGTGCATGTAGGAAGAGACAAAGCCAAAAACATCATCTAGGCAAGGGGGAGTAGCATCACAGTTTCAGCAACTCTTTCCGTGCTTTGGGGAGAGCTAGTTGCAAGGTAGCTGGGAACATAGATTTCTTGGGTGAACGTTTCCCTTAGGTGAACTGGTGAGTCTTTGGAGGGTAACGGTAGGGAGATTATTAAGGATAATGTGACAGAAAGTGGAATAAATGAAGCAAAGAGAATCTGGGTGGGAAAAGGGGTGCTTCTGTGCATGTATGGAATTTTCAGGCGACTGTATTAGAGAGGAAACTCAACATAGTGGATGCAGGCCCCTTGAATTTGGATAGGAGTGTTAAAGCTTCAAAACTGTACAGGGTTTGGTGCCCCTTCAGTTGTAGTGCATGGCTGTGGTGCTTGAACTTGGTGGTACAAACTGATCTGCTAAGCAAAGGGTTTTGTATCTAGCCAGTACCATCACCACAAGCAGCACGACAGCTTCCGGGTCTTGCCTGGGTTATATCCTGCTTTGAAGTGGCTTGCGTAGCATCACCTAATGCTGTACTTAAGTTACAGCAAGTAATTTGTGGAAACCTTTTATTGTATCAGTTAAAAATGGGATGCTAAGGATGTGTGTTGGCTCAGCAGAAATACTATGGAGTATCTATGCTGATTTTGGCATTTGGGAGGTTGATCTATGTGTGAACTGTGTAGTGAGGGACCCACGTAGCTATGTGATTTCACTTAGTCTGACACTGTATCACCACAGTACATAAACCTCAAAAAGTCAGTCTGTAGCCACCCCCTTTATGCAGATTTTTTTACCTGTTAACAAGGTCTCTATGCTCTGCATTAGAGACTGTTTTCAGACATGCATGCACCTTCTATTCCAGACTCTGAAGTACCCACATAGTGAAAGTACTGTTTATGGAATGCAGTGGAAGAGGTTGGTTGGGCCATTAGTTCTCCAAAGCTGGGAAATGTTGGGGGTGTATTTTCTTGCAGTCCAGAAAAATGAGGTGAGGAAGAGAGCGTGTTAGTTGCAGCCCATGTGACATCATTCTAAAATAGCTCTCTGACCTCCTTTTTTGTCTCCTGAGCCTTACTAGCCTGTTCCTCTTTTCAGCCAGGAGTGCATGTGTGCGATCAAGATGGTGTATGCAGTGTACATTCTTTACTGTAAAGGCGTACTGAATGCCAATTTCTTCCTGTATTGGTGTGTTACCTGCAAACCCCAAATACAGGAGAGAGCGAGTGTGTCAGAACTGTTAGAATGCATTGCTGAAGCTTTTTACTGAGTAAACTTAGAACTTTACAGCTACCAGCCTATGTTAGCTAGCTTATGCAAAAACCTGAAGACATCATACAGGTGCTTGCTATCAGTTCTACAAAGATCTGATTGCAGTGGGAACATTTAAAAAAAAAAAAGTCTTAGAAACAACTTTTTTTGACACCATATCTCACTTGTAGTTGTGTTTTTTCTCTGTTTGACCCAGCTGAGATGTAGTTTTGGTGGGGTTTTTTTAAGCCTGAAGGTGTTTTTTTTTTTAATTGCAAGAATATCTAGTCATGGTTTTATAAACTCTTCATTGCACGTGCAACAGATAGTGCCTTTACTCAAAGCCCATTAATTTCTTCAAGAAGAGTGTTTTTGTTGCCTATCACCTCTCTGAACAGAAAGGCTTTAGTAGATGGTTTGAGGGGCTACTAATTCTAGAGACAGTGAACAGGGAGAAAGAAACAGGCCAAAAAGGGTAAAGAAGTACTTAAAAGGGTACAGAAAGGTTAAATGGTACTTAAGCCATGAATGTTTCTTTTTGCAGGGATGCTTTTGGACCAACAGCTTCTTTCTAGCGCTACCTCAAAGTAACTTGCAGATATAACTCACAGGGAAGATTGATCAAATGGTGATGATCCCTATCGTTCTGCTGGATATATATATATATTTGCCTTTTGTTTTGTTTCATTTTTAATAACATTTATTTAACTTCAGTGACTCATGTCAATAGACATTGTTTGACGACATCAATGAGTATTTCTGAGTCATGAGTGTCATTAAAGGCATGTCACCATATGGAAATTGTTCTAAATAAGAAAAATGGAAGTAAAATAAGTAAATAAAGCAGCACTTGAATTTACAGAGCAAATATAGTGTAGCTGCCTTTGACACATGCATGGAAGAGAAAATTGTGTTTACAGGTTACCTTAATATACTTAAGCGTGCATCAGAAAGAGGGAATCTTGTTTTAAATTTGCCCGTCTCTTACGTGTCCGGTGCAGGAGAGAGTTTAGTCAGTTCCCCATGCAGGTACTGTTTTAGAAGTCAACATTATTCCTGACCAGTGTCTGTTACCAAAGCTCACTGTTTATATCCCTTTGTAAATCTTGCTCTTCCCGTAATGGAAATACATAATGATATCTTCCCTTCCCTTCCCCTGAGTTGGAATTTAGCATGATAATTATTTCCTGGACGAAGGGAGTTACAAATCCAGGATAAAATACTATTTTTCTTGTATTTTGATGATTATATTGATGTAGATCTTTTTTCACAAGAGCTTTGTAGAAGTAGAGCCTCATCCTAAAATCGGTGTGCAGATGTAACGTGCCAGCAGTTTACGCAAGATGACATGGTCACTTCAAAACCCCTGTGTTCCATGTCCTGGATGGGATTACTTCTCATTGCAAGTGATTCTGCCGCACATAAAATTGTTTTTACAGTGGTAGGGTATGAGAGGAGGAGACTCGAGTTCTGAAGGTGCAGTTCACGAGGGAAAATACCTGGAAAGCCATTCCATTCTGCTGGGATTTTGGAAATTGTTACCTCCTTTAGATAACCATGAAAGCAGGACTAAGAAATTGAGAAGCAGCTTGATGTGTAGCAGAGCTGGGAAGTTACCAATGAGGTTAAAAAAAGCCAGCATGGAAGAAGCAGCAAAGATTAGGTGGTACAAAACTCCCCAGTACCGTTCCTTCTGAAAGCAGTTCCTTTGCTGCTGTTCCTGCTTGTTCGCGTTTCTTCAGGCTTTTGGAATCAGCCTTGCTGGTTGAGTTCCCCTAAACCCTCAGGTTTGATACGCTCTTCAGGTGCGTGCTGATACACATGCTTTTATTTTTGGTGGGAGGGGTATGCACTATGGCACAGCTGTTTTTCACGGTTCAGTACCTGTGTCTCGTTCTATGTCAGTAATTTTTTAGGACGTTCTGGGGTTCTTAGGGCAAATAACTTTACTAACTTCTCCATAGGGAAGGTGGTTGTTATTTTCTGCTCTGGTCCATCATTCTCAGGGCAGATCAATGCTCTAAGTAAGATGTAGAGCCATAGATTTTTCTCAACTTCACTTTTAATGGAGTAAAAAAATCAACAGAAATACTTTACATTTTTAAAAATTGTAATTGAAATGCATTCTTCCTCGTTTTGAGGACGAACAGGCTCAGTTGAAGCCTTTTTTCCCCCACCTGCTTCCAAAAAGCGGCGATAAGCCCGCAGGTTGTCATTCCTATGGCTTAGGC